ACTGTGACTAGTAATAATCAGATACATAGAGATTAGAGATGCATGTGTAAATATCTAAGTATTAGTTGCATTAAAAATTTGTGAAACAGTATATTTTCAAATGAAATGGAGATCTTTTTTAAAGGTTAAAACTTCATTCAATTTTATGTCTTAGAGGGTTTATACCGAGTTCGATGTTGTATAACTGTATTAATTCAACTGTGAACCTAAAAATTTATAGCCAATATTGAAAGAGATGCATCTTTGCTCTGGAAATTGTTATTGAATATGTTAAGGCTGTAATGAAATGCTTCTTTTAATCATGTGGTCACTAAATAAATAATTAAAAAAATTTTATGTAAGTGTACTAGTGTAGCGCAGTGCCTGTGTAGGACAGAATACGGTGTTGGAATTGGAACTGGAACTATGGACGGTTGTGAGCCACCTTTTGGGTCCTGGGATTCGAAGCTGCATCCTCTGTAAGGGCAGCCAGTGCTCTTAATTGCTAGCCATCTCTCCAGCCCCCAAGCTACTTTTTAACATAAAAAAAAATGTAGCTAATAGTGAAAGTACAGAGTGCAAAACAGTAATTAAACTTCTGTTGTTAATAGTTTCCTTGCTTTAAAATAGTAATATTCTGGGGCTGGAGAGGTTTCTTAAGGTTAAGATCACTGACTGCTCTTGCAGAGGACCCGGTTTCAATTCACAGCACCCACATGGCAGCTACCAGCTGTCCTTAACTGCAGTTCCAGGGGAATCCGAAGCCCTCTTCTGACCACTTTAGCACTGCACGATACAGGTGCACTCACATACATGCAGGCAATGCACTCATGCACATAAAATAATAAATAAAATAAAAAAATAAAAAGTAAAATAAAATAGTAATATTCTGACTGTATGGACGTTCATTAAGATGTTATAGAATTGGGAACTGGGCAGATGTTTATGTTCCCTCTTCTTGTTTATTTGTATGTTTGTTTTGTGGGGTTTTGTTTTGTTTTGTTTTGTTGAGATAGGGTCCTACTATGTAGCCCTGACTGGTCTAGAACTCCCAGTATAGACCAGGCTTGTCTTGAACACACACAGACCCACCTACTTCTACCTTGTGAGTTCTGGGATTAAAGAAATGTGCTACCACACCCAGTTTTGTTTGGCCTCTTTAAAGCATAATGTGATTATTTGTAAGTTAATTAGAATAGCATAGATTTTCTGCCAAAAAATAAAATGAGACTAGTCTTCCCTTAAGAGAACTGATGAAAAAAAAAATGCATGAGAAGATGCCCAATGTCATTGGTCATCACAGACTAATCAAAGCCATTTCATGAAAGGGCACCTGATATACTTCAGTGATAAAATGCTTTCCTCACATGCCGAAGGCTCTGAGTTTGATCCCTAGAAACCCAAAGGAAAAATACTCTGAGATATGACTTTATACCTATTAAAATGACTGTACTAAAAAGAGTAGGCAATAATAACTGTTGGTGAAAGAGAGAAATTGGAACCATCGCACATTGATGGTAGGAATGTAAAATGATGTGGCCACTGTGGAAGACAGTTTGTCAGTACCTCAAAACATTTGTAAATCAGTGGCTTAAAGGAAGTGAAATGACAACTCAAAGTGGGGAAACTACCAATGATAACATTTCTATAAAAATAAGGGATTTATATTCAAAACGAATGCTTCCAGATCAATAATAAAAAGACAACCCAGTTTTTAAAATGATCCTACAGCTAGGTACATACCAAAGAAAACTGAAAATTTTGACATTTTAAAACTTGTACAAAAATATTTATTAGCATTCATATTGGCAAAGTAGTGGAAACAACCCAATTTTTCATCAGTTGATGACTGAGGATGAAAGACCCATATAATGCAGCACCATTTAGCATTAAAAGGTATGAAGTGTGCTAGGGAGATGGCTCAATGAGTAAAGTATCTGTGGTGCAAGGATGAGAACCTGAGCTGGATCCCTGGCACCCATTTGTAAGAGCTGAGTACAGCAGTGCATGCCTAACCCTAGTGCTGGTAGAGAAAAGTCAGGAGGACCCAGGGCCGGCCAGCCAGCCAATGAGCTCTAGGTTCAGCCAGAGACCTTGTATTAAAAAAGAAGATGTTCAGTGTTAACCATTGGCCTCCACATGCATGTTTGCACCTGCATACTCATGAACACATACAGACACATGAATATGCATACACACACACACACACACACACACACACACACACACACAATGAAGTATAGATCCATAGTATACCATAAGTGAGTCTTGAAAACATGCTAAGTGAAATAAGATACACAGAAAAGCTACATGTTGTCTGAGCTCATTAATCTAAAATAATCAAATCCACAGAATTAGAAAATAGGTTAATAGTTATCAGGAACTAAGAGAAGGTGTCATGGGGGAGAGACTGCTAATGAGTGTGGAGTTTATTTTGGCATGATGAAAATAATCTGGAGCAGGTAGTGGTGGCATTGTTTAACTTGGTAAATGTACTAAAAATTGTTGAATTATATCCTTAAATAACATTGTATGATAAATGAGTCCTCTGTTTTAAAAATACAAAAAAAATTTTTGTATAGCCCCAGCTGACCTAGAAGTCTTTACATAGAACAGGCTGCTCTATGTAGACCAGGATGGCGTCTATCTCACAGAGATCAGCCTGTCTCCCCAAGTTCTGGGATTAAAGGCATGGGCCACCACCACCATACCCAGCCTGAATTACATCATAAAAAAAAAAACAAAAACAAAACCCCACAAATAATAATCCCTGGGCACAGCATTTCTTCATTTCTTACTCAGTTTAGCATTTTAAGACAAAAGGGTTTTTTGTTTGTTTGATTGTTTGTTTCTCCTACAAGTATGTTTTTAAAAACCTAGATCAACCCTACAGTTATCCCTCAGAAACCTCTGTTGATGTTTCATTTCCCTAGACCTCTTACCATTTTTATCACTGATGATAATATTTTGTTCTTTTGCAGAATGATGGCTGTTTTAGTACTTCAGGTGGAATTCGTCCTTTTCAGCTTCAAAATTGGAAGCAGAAAGTTAGTCGGACTAAGAAAGCAGAATTCATACGCACAGCAGAAAAATTAAAAAATCAGTAAGTACAAGAGTATTATCTTCAAATAGCATTATTAACCATTTTATAATGAAGAATATAAATTAACTCAACTCCACTCTGTCCAATTCCATGTTGTTAGAAAAATTCTGGCCACTAGCCTGTCAAGCATAACAAGAGGAAGAAGGGAGGTGTGAACTGGGCAAATAAACTGCTTATCACAAAGTTAACTCTGAGTGGAATTATTTCACTTTTATTTTTTACCATTTTGTGTTAGTGTACTTCAAGGAAGACAAGGCAATCATGTCTTTATATTTTGAATATCGAATAACAGATTGTAAATATATTTTCATTCTACATGTAGCTGTAGGTAAGCACTTTATAAATAATTCTGAGTGAGGATTATAAAAAGTAAATGTTCTTTTCCTACATTATGGAATAATAAATGGTTGATATAGGGACTCCTTTTTCCCCCTTTTTTTAAAAATTGAATTTTTGTGAATTTTCATGCAAATATTTTGATAATATTTGAATCCCCTCCCGTATCTGCACCCCCTTTGCTTTCCACTAAATTCCTTGTACACACACACACACACACACACACACACACACACACACACACACACACATTTATATAAAGGCCTATGGAGTCAATTTTTGTGTCCCCAATTGCCCTTCAGTGTGGGTTCATTCACTGGAGCCTGATCAACCTACCAAGACTCTCACACTTTAACAAAACTGATTCTCCCCTTCCCAGCAGCCATCAGTTACTAACAGTTCCTCAGGTAGGGTCAGGGTTTCTTACCTCCTTCCCCATGTCTATGCTGCTATTTAGTCTGACTTGAGTTTATGTGGGACTTGTGCCTGCTGTTAGCATTGCTGTGAGGTCATACACGTACCTGACCAGCTGTCTGGAAAACTATACTCCTTGTGCCCTTGTGGTCATCTACCTCCTCTGGCTCTTACAATATTTCTGCCCCCTCTGACCATTTCTTCCACAGTGATCTCTAAGCCATGGGAGGCATAAGTCTGATACAGGTGTCCTATCAGGGAAAAGCACTCTACAGCCTCTTAATTCTCTGCATGTTGGCCAATTGTGGTTCTATGTGTTAATCACCATCTACTGTACAAGGAAGTTTCTCTGCTGAGAATTGAGAGATGCATTAATCTTGAAAGGTATTTCTTTTCCTAAATTTGGGAAATATTCTTACATGTGATTTTATTAAAAATATTTTCTGTGTCTCTCATCTGGATTTCTTCTCTTCTGTGCCTATGATCCATAGGTTTGGTCTTTTACAGTGTCTCAGAGGTCTTGCATATTCTGTTCCTGGGTTGTTTTAGGTTTGACATTTTCTTTGATTGAGTGATTTATTTCCCCAAGCTTATCTTCAAGATCTGATATTCTCTGTTACATTTCTTCCACTTCCTTTTCGCTTCTTTTTCCTCTAAGATTTTTTGTTTGAGTTTCTGAATTTTTCATTTTAAGTTTTATTTCAGTTTGGCTTTTCTTCAGAGATTCTTTATCTTTATTGAATTCTAATTTCTTGTTTTGAATTGTTTCAGCTAATTCAGCTGTTTGTGTTTTCATGGTCTTCATTTAGTTTTTTATTCATATTTTGTTTGAGTTCCTTGAACTCAAATGTTTATAATTGCTATTTCAAAACCATTGTCTTATGCATCTACTGGATTGCCATTCTCAGGAAATATTATGATGGGGTTGCTAATTTCTGCAGTAGCCATGTACCTTGGTTATTCACAATGATTGTGTTTTTTCTATGAGATCAAGGCCTCTGGATTTGTGTTGGTGGTGGTGTTTCTTGGTATGGTGTACGTGATCTTGTCTTTGCTGAGTGGTTATTTGCATCTTTGTTTGCTGTTTCCCCAACTTGTCAGGTTATGGCCCAGCTGAGTGGTACTTGTTTTTCAGTTTTGGAGCCACTTCACGTTGATGTGCAAATGGGGTATAGAAGTGGTCTTAGTTAAGCCAGGGATAGTATAACTTTTGAGTTGAGCTTCTAGGGTGGATTCCTCAGGAGTCAGCAGAGTGGACTGGGTGGTTGCTAGGTGAACAGGTTGGCTGATAAATCAGGCTGGGAGAGCTCACAGGTCTTGAGGTGGCGCACCCCTTTAGTCCCAGCACTTGGGAGGTGGAGGCAAGCAGAGCTCTTTGAGTTTGAGGCTAGCAGAGCTCTTTGAGTTTGAGGCTGGCCTGGTGGTCTACATAGTGAGTTCCAGGCCAGCTGAAGCTACAGGGAGACCCTGTCTCAAAAAGACAAAAAGAAAAAAAAAAAAAAGATGCTAGTAACCTGAGCAGGTCTGACACAAGGGTCCTGGCAGAGCTGAGATGTTGATGGTGTAGCCCAGGGACATATGGGAAGGGAAACTTGCTGTGGCAGGTCTGGGAAATTTCCCATGTCTGGAGTCCACAAAGGTCCTAACAGAGCAGAGATGGCTGGCCCAAGGAGGTGTGGTAAAGGGATGTATGAGACAGGTCTGGGAAGTCCCCTCAAGGAGCTGTCGAAAGGTCCTGGCAGAGCTGGGAATGGACTCCTTTTTAATTGAGAATTTCATACATGCATGTAATATATTTTGATCAAATCACTTCCCATTCTCTCCCCTCCAGTTCTTCCCTAACCCTCCCACTTTTCCCTCTCAACTTCATGAGCTCTCTCTCTTTTTTTTTTTTCACTTATTTTTTGTTTATGTGTATGACTGTTTTGCCTACATATATGAAGTGCACCTGTGTGTGCAATGCTCACAGAGGCCAGAAGAGAGCATCAGATCCCCTGAAACTGCAGTTATAGAGAATTGTTAGCCACCATGCGAGTGTTGTGAACCAAACCTGGGTTCTCTGCAAGAGCAGCCAGTACTTTTAACCACTGAGCCATCTCTCCAGCCCCCTCTCTTTTTAAAAAAGAAGTATTATTTTTAATTGTATGTGTGTGAGTGTATTGCCTGCCTATATTTAAGTGTACCTGTGTCGTCCAATGCCCATGGAGGTCAGAAGAGAGCATGAAATTCCCTTGGAATTACAGGTGGTTGTCAGCCACCATGTGGGTGCTGAGAATTGAACCTGGGTCCTCTGCAAGGGCAGCCAGTGCACTTAACCGCTGAGCCAACTCTCCATCCACCCCTCTTTTTTAAAAAGAAGTATTATTTTTTAATTGTATGTGTATGAGTGTATTACCTGCCTATATTTAAGTATACCTGTGTCATCCAATGCCTATGGAGGTCAGAAGAGAGCATCAAATTCCCTTGGAGTTACAGATAGTTGTCAGCCATCATGTGGGTGCTGGGAATTGAACCTGGGTTCTCTGCAAGGGCAGCCAGTGCGCTTAACCGCTGAGTCAACTCTCTATCCACCCCACCCCACCCCCGCCCACGCCCTCGGCCTTTTTTTTAATGCACCGAATCTACTTAGTGCTGCCTGCATGTGCATAATGTAGGACCATCTACTGGAGCATGGGTAGCCTCTCAGGCAGAATCCCCAAAAAGCGAATTTCCCTCCCTGAGCAGTCATCCGTTGTCCACTGTTGTTTACCATGTACATCAGTTGCCTTCTCAGCGAGGGGTGGGATGTCATGATCCCCTCTACAGTCCATGTTGGAATTTTGGCTGGCTTGACTTTATGTAAATCTTGTACATGCAGTCATAGCTGCTGTGATTTCATGTGTATAACTACTTTGTCATATCCAGCAAATAATGGTTTGCTGCATATGTCCCCTACTTTTGGATCTTAAAATCTTTCAGCCCCTTCTTCCAAAATGATCTCTGAGCTTTGGCATGTGATACAAATGTCCCATTTAGATCTGAACACCCTACAGTCTTTTAGTCTTTTCATGCAGATCAGTTCTGGTTCTCTGTATTAGTCAGAATCTACTGCAAAAAGAAGGCTGAGAGATACACTATGGATATGAAGACAAGAAGTTAAAGGGCACTTGAATACTATGCCCCTTTAGCAAAATAATAGTAATAGTTTCTCCCCTAGGCCTTATGACCTAGCCAGTCATAGGATTTTGACCCAGTTAACAGTACCAGGAGTAAGCTCCATCTTGTGTGGAACCTTAAATCCACTCAGAAAGTTGTTGGTTTTAACATTCATGCCACTTTTATACCAGTGAGCATATCTTGACAGGCCAGTTATGGAAACTCCAGAATTTATAGCTGGGAATGATTGTTGAGTGTATTTTCTCCTGGTAGTGTTAGTAGCATTTCCCAGCTCTATGAAAGCTACCCAGTAGGAATGAAGCTTCCAGGTTGGTATCAGCCTGGTTTTTCCATATGCAATGGCTCACATATATGGTGTCTTCCTCAATAACACCTTACCATCAAGTTCTGAAGGGTAACCAAGAGCAATGACAATAGCCTGCAATATTTGGGGACCCCACTGACTAACAGCTCAAAAGAGATAACCCATACCTGGCACTGAGCTTTTTACTGATAGTACATGGTGCCTTGGAGAGGCATTTCTCCATTGCTATAGGGTGACTCATTTAAACTCCTCTTATATATACTTATACATATGTTTTAGAAGGCTTCTGTTTTCCATATAGCATTTCTAAAGGTCTTTAGTGTTATGTATTCTTTCCCATCCTCTCTTCTCTATCCTGTACTCCCTTCTCCTATCTCTTTTAACCCTTCCTGCTCCATTATTCCTCTTTTCCCCTTCATACCACCTGTATTATAATATCCCCTTCCCTTGAAATCTCCCTGGACTTGTCCCCTTACTCATTTCCTGACTTATGTGGGCTCTCCAATTTAAACACATGTCCAAAGTTTCAAATTTATTTTTAAAATTTTTTAATTATTTTTTTTGAATTTTTGCAATTTTCATACAATATAGTTTGATGTCCCCAAATGTCTTTCAGTGTGGGTCCATCAACTGGGCCCACCAAGAGTCCCATCCCTGAAAGACACTGTCATTCCCTTTCCCAGCAGCCATCAATTGCCAAAAATTCCTTAGGTAGGGTTGGGATTTCTTACTCACTTCCCCATGATAATGCTGGGATTTTCTATGGTTTGAGCTGCAAGCTTGTGTATGC